TTCCCCAGAGCTGTGTGCAAATTGTGATTTCAAGGTTCAGAAGGTGGCTGACTGCAACAGCCTAATGTGAGATGAGAGGCTTCCGGTTACCAATTAATGCAGTGCTTAGTATTAGCTCTTGCTCTTGATCCCTACTCCTTAAATTTTCACTTATGGTTTTAGTGATTAGCATATTGCATAGCAAACATAATGAGTCTCATTCAGTAACCACAATAAAATTAAAATTATTAACATGGGAATCAAAGATTGAAAGGATTCTAGATCAGAGAGCTAAAAATGGAGAGAAAGGTCTCTTGAGTCCACACTTATGAAAATAGTGATCTCTTAACTGGACAAATCCACCAAAATTCTCATATCTGTAGACCCTGGCTATGAAAAAAAGAACACCTGACAATTTGCTCAGAAATTCATGCTTTCTGAAGTTAATAAGGTAGAGGTACAAGCAGCTGCTGAACCAGCAAATATTCAAGGCTCCAAAGGAAAAGGAAAAACTCCTACCTCCCCTAACAAGTAAAGCCCTGTCAGTTGCAGCTAGCTCAGCTTTTAGAGAAAGGAAGTGGAGCCCACAGACTAAGAAACTCTTGCTATTCTGACTGGGTTGTGGCACACTTGCTTCTTCTTCCTCTCCTTTATTTTTCTGGTGGTAATCCTTGTTGATTCCGGATGAGGTTCACAGAATTCTTCATGTTCTGTTAACATGAAGATATATCATTTCAACTAACCTTGAGCCTACTTGACTCACAGACTTAAAGACATTCATCCCTAGGCCTTTACATCTTAAAAAATGAGTTGGAGCCAGGCCCTGGAGACTCATACCTTTAATTCTAGCTACTCAGGAGGCTGAAATCTGAGGATCACGGTTTGAAGCCAGTTTGGGCAGGAAAGCCTGTGAGACTCTTATCTCCAATGAAGTACAAAAACAGCCAGAGGTAGAAGTAGAGCTGTTACTCAAGTGGTAGAGCACCAGTCTTGAGCAAAATAAAATAAAACCCAGAGACAGGACCTAGGCCTTGAGTTCAACTCCCTAGACTGGCAGAAAAAGAAACGAAAAGAAAGAGTTGGAGATAAATGTATTAAGTACACAAGATCTGAGTTAAAGCCAGGGTGAGGAAGGTAAAATTCATTTGTATCAATATGCCAGGCTTTTCACAAAGCTTAAACTATTAAAGTTGGAGGAAAAAAAACAAGTTTTAAAATAAGTTCAGGAGATATTTATCAATCTGGTTTTATAAGCATTGCTGAGAATTGTGTGTTACTGAGAAATGAAACTGAAAGTTTGTATTCAATAACATGAATCAGCCTGAATGCAGGAAATGACTGCAGAGTGAAAGCAAGTTTTTTCCTCCTTCATTAACTCATGCACTTTCTGAGATCCCATCATGTTCAGGTAACGTGCTCTCACTTTGACAAACGCTTGGGTGTGTCAGACACAGACTCTATGATCTATGTACTCATAGCAATAATAGTCCAAGAACTTGTAAGGATAAGGAGAAAGGTCCTTCAGATCCATCAAGCATCATTAAGATAAACTAATAAAGATTAAACAGGAAGAAATAATGTATTCACATTTGTTAATATACAAACTTGATAAAACACAGCATGGGAAAAATAATAGATATATCCATTGGGTAAATGAAAAACTGACATATTTATATACTATAGAGGTTGGAGAGATAATAGATACTTTTGTGTGTTTATAAATAACTACATATGAATAATGACTAAATGAATGATATCAAATAATGTCTCTTTGGGATTTATATTACCCAAGAAACAGAATCTTGCAAGGAAAAACTACCCAGATACCCTTCTATTCCTAAGTCTTCTTTTCTGAGAAAAATACTAGGATTTCAACATGTGAGTAGAACGCAATTTTGCTCAGTTTCTGTAGCCGTGTCTAAATGCAGTTAAGAGGAATACCACAGAGAGCATCTCCTTTCACATTAAATTGTTGACTATATAAAAAATCATATTCAGAGAATATCATTCTCTAAACTCCAGTAATTCTAAGATGGTGAAAGTCATAAGGAAAGTCTCAGAGGCTCAAATTCAACCTTTAAAGTTTCATAGCTGGAGAGATCATCTTGGATGCTTCATCCTTATAGACTTGAACTTCAAAGTCAATTGTGCCCTACCAAGATAGAATTCACATGTAAACATCCACTTCAGACCAAACAATAGAGGAGATAAACATACATTATCTCATTTTATCCTAATGACCGTTAATGAGGTAAGACATCACTAATGCCAAAATAATGTTCCTACAAAGTTTATTTGTTTCTCATTGTTTCAATTGTTCTCATACCAAAGCCTTAAGGATATATAAAAAGTTTCAAGAAGTTTGAATTTATATTTTTCCACTTTATCTTTCTAGTCTGAAATACTGACATAATGAATGTTAATGAAGGAAATTTTATAAAATTATTAATGTGACTGAGTTTGGTTGGTAGCTGAAAGACCCTAATTTCCTAGGGGTACTTTCATCAACGGGAGGGTGCCCCAGAAACCCAGACTCCAAGCCGGTAGATGCAATAAGCAAGAGGAATTTATTTGGCGTTTGCGCAAACGGACTCTCTACCTCGGGAAGGGAGAGAGCCGCGAGCAGCAGTTACAGGCATAACACAAGGCGTCTGGGGATTGGCCCATTTAAAAGTCACTATGCACTCCAGCAATCATTTTTACTATGCGGGGAAGTTTGTAACACTCTGTAAAAACGATTGGCATGGGTGATTCAAAGGAGGTAGTCACTCTGAGAGGTAAGGGTTAGCGGAGTGCACATAGTTACAGGCTTGTGATTGATTAACATTTGGCCTAGTTTGCTGGACTTGCCAGGTGGTCCTTATCTTGGGTCCTTATCTTGGGTCCCTATCTTGGGTCCCATTTGGCCACTTGGGGAATTTCCAAACAGGAACTAGAAAAATACATACCTGTTTGTTCTTTATCTATGACCACAGACCTTGTCCCGGGGCTGGCATCTGGACTCTGAGACTTTTTAGTCAATTCCTTATTTCCAGAAAGGGCGGGGGGGGGGGGGGGGGGGTTAGTGCTAGCGCGAGCAAGTTTACAAAAGTGAAATCAGCAGTTAGCAATTGTAAAATGTAACTCTAATTTTTAATCTTTCATTTCCTCCTTTTTCTTTGGACTAATTTTAATCTTAAAATTCAGGGTGTCTCTATATTATCAATTATTCTTAATGCCTGCTATTGTTGGGTTAATACCAAGGCCTGTGTGATGGATAGTCTTTTGCGAATAAACTGTAACAGCCTATTAAGAATGCAGGGGCCCAAAGTAAGAAGCAAAAGGAGAACAAGCAGGGGTCCCAGAATCATGGAGATGAGGGTGGTCATCCACGGTGACTTATTAAATCATCCCTCGAACCAACCCTGTTGGGCTTCATGGTCTTTCCATCTTTGGTTGAGCCTGTCTCTAAGTTTTGCCATAGAATCTCTGATCACTCCCGTATGATCTGCATAAAAACAACATTCTTCTCCTAAGGCAACACACATTCCCCCTTCCTTTAGAAATAAAGTCTAGGCCCCTCCGGTTCTGTAACACTACCTCGGAAAGAGAAGTCAGGGACTTTTCAAGCTCTGACACTGATTGCTCTAGGGCCTCCAGGTCCTCATCTACTGCTGCCTGAAGGGCGGAGAATTGTTGGTCTCCCTGAATTATTGTGGCTGTCCCGGTACCCGCTCCGATGGCCACTCCCATCCCCAACAATACAGCCATGGTGAGGGATATGGGTTCTCTGCGGAATCTGGAGGGGTGCTGTTCATATTGGTTTTCTAAGGTCTCGCCAGGATGGTAAAAAAAACTCTAGGAAGCACTCAGACCGCGATATAGAAATCAGTGGAAAGGTTTAAAACGTGGGTAGCTATGCAAGAGGAGAGGCCTTTGTTACAGGCCCACCAAGTTCTGGATGGTGGCAGTAAATAGGGGCCTGGGCCAGGGTCAGAACTAGTAGAGTTGCAGAGGTGGGCGTATTCTGGAGGTGGCTGTCCTATACAAGCTCCCCGGCCAGAGATTTCTGTCAAGGTGAGGGTAGGTGGGGAGCTGCGGCACCTACTGGCATCCGAGGAGGTAGTATGTGTCCCTGGGATTGCAATGCCTTCATAATAAGGGGGGTTGGTAGCTAGACACAGCCAACAGGATTCTGTTCCTGAAGGTAAGGTCTGATTTAAGGCTAGATATGTGCCACTTATCAAATTAAACAGGTGCTGCCCCGTGTTGGAAGGTAAGAGGTTGGGTTGGGGCAGTAGGGGAGGCTGAGAGCCTGCAGCCGGAGGCTTGACAGTAGTTTGGGGGGGCTGGTGGGAGTGGATCCTGCTTTGGAAAAGAGGCCCTCGTCCCCAGGGCGGGGTTAGGCCCTAAAGGGAGGGGGTTTATGTTTTCCACCCGAAGGCGGACAATCATGAATCCGCCACCATCATGGCCTTGTTTGTACAGCCTAATCCCCCAGGTGAGCCCAGTCCCCCAGCCCAAGTTAGGCACTTTTCCCTTAGCAGTAAATTTTACAGTAAGTCTTATGCACCACCATTGGCAGTTTGTGTCTGCACAGCTCCCTCCCTCCCGCCCACTGGTCTTCTTGACTGTTATGTAGTCCCAGGAGGAGGAGAGGTTCCAGTAGGTGTCACCAGTGGTCTCGCAGCCCCAGGCTTTACAAAAATAATCTTCCTCCCTCCCACATTTGTATATAAGGGAAGGGTCCTGATGTCTGCCCGGACAGACATAGGCTGGGGAAACCTCTCCAGGGATAATAGAAAGGAGATAAGCCGTTTTTACTAAGATCTACACGCAAGTTTGGTTCCAGGTTGGGCCACCATGTCCAGAGAGGAGCCATGGTAGAGGAGGTCCATATTACGTTCCCCACCTCGTTTACCACTTGCCACGTCTGGTTCTGGGGGATGTGTGGGTTTATGCCTGCCAGGGGATGGACTCTTTGTCCCTCCGCTACTGTCAAGGCCACAACAGCAAAAAACATTAGGCAGTTTTTAAGAGTCTTATCTTGCGAGGATTTTGAGTGCGCTGCAACTTCCATCTGGGTGACTCAGCAGGGTCCTTGTCGACTCCTTGTCGACTCCTTGTCGACTCCAGGCAACTCCAGGCAGTGTGCACTTGACATTGGAGGCGTGGATCCAGGCGGCAATCCCGTCTACCTTCAGCGCAGTAGGGGTAGTCAGTAGTACCATGTATGGACCTTTCCAGTGAGGTTTGAGGGTCCTGGACTGATGTCTTCTCACATACACCTCATCGCCGATCTGGAAGGGGTGTGGGATGGTGGAACTCCCGGCTGTGTAGGCCATGGCCAAAGGCTTCCACACTTGCTTTTGAATGAGTTGCAGGGCTCGCAGCCGCGCCTGTAAACTTTGAGTATTTGCAAGAGTCAATAGCAGGATCAAGGAAATCTGCTATAGGAGGGGGTCCCCCCCATAGAGGATTTCATAGGGTGTCAGTCCATGGCTTGCTGGGGTATTTCGAGCTCTAAACAGGGCCATGGGAAGGATTTGGACCCAGTCTTTAGTGCCAGTTTCTAGGGCTAATTTAGTTAGGGTCTCTTTAATTGTTCTATTCATACGCTCTACCTGTCCTGAACTTTGGGGTCGATAAGCACAATGTAACTTCCAATCTATCCCCAATAGCCTGGCCACCATCTGACTTACCTGGGAGACAAAAGCAGGGCCATTATCTGACCCTATTACCTTAGGCAGCCCGAATCGAGGAAAAATTTCTTCCAGAATCTTCTTGACTACCACTTGTGCTGTTTCCTGCTTGGTGGGTAAGGCTTCTGTCCAGCCGGAAAAGGTATCTACAAAGACTAGGAGATACTTAGCTCCATACTTGCCAGGTTTGATTTCAGTGAAATCGATCTCCCAGTTGGTGTCAGGTCGTTCTCTCCTCATTCTGGTTCCGGCGGGTGCCAGGAACCGGCCTGCATTAACCTTGGCGCAGGGGACACAAGAGTCAATAACCTGGAATATAATGGAACTGTTCTTCTCTTTGTAAAAGAGTCTCCAGCTTTTTGTGACCCAAGTGGGTCCATCTGTGAAGATAGGTGACCAGTCTCTTGGCATCCTTTCTAGGTAATATTGTCCTGTCCCCATATTTCCAAGTCCCAGTCAGGTCATCGTAGGTTGCCTTTAACTTTTTAACTGTTTCCATATCCTGGTCCGAGTACAGGAGAAGAGGTTGCTTGAGCGGTGGTTGGTCGCGGGGTGTGGCTAGGGTTAGGGTTTGGTGTTGTAATGCTATCGCTCTAGCAGTCTCATCTGCCATCCTGTTTCCCACTGCCACAGGGTCCCCTCCTACCTGGTGGCCCGGGCAGTGGATGATGCTCACCTTTTTAGGCAGGAAGAGGGCCCGCAGGAGGTTTAAGATTTCCTTTTTATTTTTAATGTCTTTCCCCGCAGAAGTCAATAGGCCCCGTCTTCGATAGATCTCTCCATGGACATGTGCGGTAGCAAAAGCATACCGACTGTCGGTGTAGATGTTAATTTTCTTTCCCTGAGCCTTCGTTAGCGCCTGTGTCAGGGCGATGAGTACGGCTCTTTGTGCCGATGTTCCAGGCTCTAGGGCTGACGCCCAGATAACTGTGGTCCCATCCACCACTGCCGCCCCCACTCTCCGCTCACCGTTGTACAGGAAGCTGTTCCCATCCGTGTACCACGTGTGTTCAACATCTGGCAGAGGTCGGTCGGTCAGGTCTTCACGGGTTCCGTGAACTTCCACCAGGATCTGATGACAATCATGCTCGATGGGGAGGTGGGAGTCCCGGTCCGGAAGTAAAGTTGCTGGGTTGAGAGAAACTGCGGCCCCGAACCGAATCTGGTCGGGAATTAACAACATTGTCTGGTAATGGGTGATCTGGGCATTTGGTCAGGGGGCTGGCGGATGACTGTCTCTATGGCATGGGGGGGGCCATCACCATGAAGGGCTGTCCCAAGGTTAACTTGTCAGAGTCTTTTACCAACATGGCTACAGCTGCAATGATGCGGAGAAACGGGGGCCATCCGGCCGCCACACTGTCCAGCTTTTTAGAAAAGTATGCCACTGGTCTTTTCCAGGGCCCTAACTTTTGAGTCAGAACTCCTTTTGCAATCCCCTGTCGTTCATCCACATATAGAGTGAATGGCCTGGTCACATCTGGGAGGCCCAAAGCTGGGGCTGATAGTAAGGCCTTTTTGATTTGATCAAAGGCTTGTTGTTGCTCTTTTTCCCATCAAAATGGGGCATTGGCCTTGGTAAGAGGGTACAGAGGAGCTGCCAACTCAGCGAATCCTGGTATCCACAAGCGACAAAATCCAGGGCATCCCAGGAATTCCCTCAGGGCTCCTGCGCTTGTGGGCTGCGGTATCTGGGTGATGGCTTGCTTACGACCCTCCGTCAGCCACCTCTGCCCTCCTTCCAACTTATAGCCCAGATAAGCCACTTGTCAGGCACAAATCTGGGCCTTTTTGGCTGAGGCCCTATAACCTAGCTCCCCCAGTCTTTTTAATAGGGCCCCGGTACCTCTTAGGCAGTCATCCCAAGTCTCGGCCTCTAGAAGCAGGTCATCCACGTACTGTAGAAGAGTCAACTAAGGATGGCTGACCCTGAAGTCAGCCAGGTCCTGGTGTAGAGCCTCGTTGAACAGGGTCGGGGAGTTTTTGAATCCTTGTGGTAACCTTGTCCATGTGAGCTGTCCTGAAAAACCTGATTCTGGATCCTTCCACTCAAAGGCAAAAATTGGCTGGCTCTGAGGACTCAGTCTTATACAGAAGAAAGCGTCCTTTAAATCTAGCACTGTATACCATGTGTGACTTGGGGGCAGTGTACTCAGTAAGTTGTAGGGGTTGGGCACCATAGGGTGTATACCCTCCACCCTCCGGTTCACCTCCCTCAAGTCCTGTACCGGACGGTAGTCCCCCGTTCCGGGCTTCTTGACGGGCAATAAAGGGGTGTTCCATGGGGACTGGTATGGCTTTAGGATGCCAAATTGCAGCAGCCTTTGTATGTGTGGCCTGATTCCATTTTTGGCTTCCCTGCTCAGTGGATACTGACGTATCATCACAGGGGTAGCCGAGGGCTTAAGTCCAATGACAAAGGGAGGCTGGTTTATAGCTAACCCCATCCCCTCTGTTTCTGCCCAAGCCTGGGGAAAATTTGACAACCACTGGGGGTTGATCAAGGCTGACTGGGGATTTTCATGCAGCCGATGTTCATCCTCCAGGCGCAGGGTTAGGACTTTAAGCGGCTGCCCTTGGAGTCCTCTGACTGAGGCCCCTTTGTCCTGGAAGTAAATCTGGGTTCCGACTTTGGAGAGGAGGTCCCTCCCCAATAACGGATAGGGGCAGTCCGGGACTAGGAGGAACGAATGAGTAACTAGTCCTGTCCCAAGGTGTACTTTGCACTCAGTTGTCGACCGGTACAGTTTTCCCCCTGTTGACCCCTGTACCCAGGACATTTTAGTGCTCAGGGGACCTCCTGGTTGGGTTAGAACGGAGTGCTGGGCACCTGTGTCGACCAAGAAGGTCACTGGCTGGCCCCCCACTCGAAGGGTTACCCGGGGCTGGGGGGGGGGGTTCCTGGCCCTGACTATCCTAGTCTTCCTCTCCTTCCAAGGACAGCACCTGGGCAGGCCTTCGGGGTCCTCTCGTCTGGCCTTTCTTCGGGCAGTCCTTAACCCAATGTCCTATTGAAAGACCCCAGACTCACTGGGATGCTTTCTTCAACGGGAGGGCACCCCAAGAACCAAGACTCCAAACCAGCAGATGCAATAAGCAAGAGGAGTTTATTAGGCGTTTGCACAAACAGGCTCTCTGTCCAAGGCAGACAGGAAGCCCCGAGCAGCAGATGCTTCTTGTCTCGCTTGTCTTCCCTGTCCTCCTGCTCCTTACGCAGCCTCTCTTTCCTTTCTTCCTTTGTCTCTCTTTTATTAAAAATTCTTTCCGTTTCCTTGACCAAATCCTGCAATGTATACCCCTGAAGCCCCTCCAACCGCTGCAACCTGGTCCGAATGTCCTGTGCAGATTGCCCAATAAAGGACATAATCACATCAGACTGCCTATCTGGAGCTGAGGGGTCAAAGGGCGTATACATACGATATCCTTCCATTAGTCTCTCTAAAAATCCTGCAGGTGTCTCCTCAACTCCCTGTATTATCGCACGTACCTTGGCCAAATTGGTGGGGTGCCTTCCGGCCCCTTTGAGACCCGCCAAAAGAACCTGGTGATAAAGACGGAGCCGCTCCCTACCAGCCACGGTGTTGAAGTCCCAATTAGGGCTGGTCAAAGGAAACACTTCATCTATCTCATTAGGCAGCTGCAGTTGGTCTGCTCGCCCAATCGTGGTGAAGGCACAAGCGACTGCTGGGAGGTGGAGAGGGCGCCTGAGGCAGCGGGGTGCCTGGGGCCCCGCCTCCGGCTCAGTGGAGTCTGGGGAGGGAGCAGGTGGGGAAGGGGAGTCCTCCTGCGGGCCCCTGGGTTCCTCCCCTCCCGGAGCGGGTTGGGCATAAGGTGGTAGGGGATCTAGCAACTGCGGGGGATCTAGGAGCAGTAAGTCCGCCTGGTTTTCTGGCAAAACAGGGGGTTTGGTGGAGTCCTTAGTCCTAAAACCTGACAATTCTTTTAAGGGGTAGAGGGAGGATGAGGATGGGGGAGGGGCAGAAGGGAGAGGAACAAGGGGAGTGGGCGAAGGCAGAGGGACGAGGGGAGTGGGCAAAGGCAGAGGGCTGGGGGAGTGGGAGAGAAAAGGCTCAATCCACTTTGGGGGATCTCGAGCGAGATCCTCCCAAGTGACAATATAGGGGACTTGGTCAGGATGGCCATGAGGGCCGGTCTGAAAAACTCAGGCCTTCACCTGTAAGAGAACATCAAGATTGAAAGAACCGCCCTTCAGCCACCCAACGTTATGGGCGGGCCACTCCGAAGAACAGAAAGTAATCCATTTCTTTTTCCGTACCTCCAAAGACAAGTTGTGGGCTCGGGTTGTAACTTCCTTCCAGTGATCTAAAGTAAGACTTAAGGGGGTTGTTAGTTGCTGCCCCATCCCTTCAAGGACAACAAAATAGACAACAGAAACAAGAAACACTAAACAGAAACAGACAAAACCAGACAGGCAACGCGTGGCAGTCGAACAACTGCAGACAGATAAAGCAGCTTCAGATGGGAGTAGCCGACCACGGCTAAACTCCCCGGGAAGGAGAGATATTCCGGTCTCCTCCTTCCTCCAGATCACCCCAGAGTAGGACTCCAGGGTGGGACGAGGGGTCTCAGGGCACGTCTGCCTCCCCGACTGGCCCAAATTCAGATAAAATACAGGTCCTGTACAGGCACTTTTGGATCCCAGAATACAAAACGAAAATAACGAACACCGAAGACGCGAAATGCAAGAGCTCTATCTTACCTCCAACTGGTCTTGGGATTTGGGGTCTGGGGGCGCTGGTATCCCGGACAAGCCCCCACCTGAAAGACCCCAATTTCCTAGGGGTACTTTCATCAACGGGAGGGCGCCCCAGAAACCCAGACTCCAAGCCGGTAGATTCAATAAGCAAGAGGAATTTATTTGGCGTTTGCGCAAACGGACTCTCTACCTCAGGAAGGGAGAGAGCCGCGAGCAGCAGTTACAGGCATAACACAAGGCGTCTGGGGATTGGCCCATTTAAAAGTCACTATGCACTCCAGCAATCATTTTTACTATGCGGGGAAGTTTGTAACACTCTTTGTAAAAACGATTGGCATGGGTGATTCAAAGGAGGTAGTCACTCTGAGAGGTAAGGGTTAGCGGAGTGCACATAGTTACAGGCTTGTGATTGATTAACATTTGGCCTAGTTTGCTGGACTTGCCAGGTGGTCCTTATCTTGGGTCCTTATCTTGGGTCCCTATCTTGGGTCTTTATCTTGGGTCCCTATCTTGGGTCCCATTTGGCCACTTGGGGAATTTCCAAACAGGAACTAGAAAAACACATACCTGTTTGTTCTTTATCTATGACCACAGACCTTGTCCCGGGGCTGGCATCTGGACTCTGAGACTTTTTACTCAATTCCTTATTTCCAGAAAGGGGGGGGGGGGGGGAGGGGGGGTTAGTGCTAGCGCGAGCAAGTTTACAAAAGCAAAATCAGCAGTTAGCAATTGTAAAATGTATCTCTAATTTTTAATCTTTCAGTAGCTATATGGAATTTATGAATCTCAACATAGGCAAGAGGGTTATAAAAATCTATAGAGGTAAACAAAGCAATGATGTCCTGGAGTTCTGGGGGCTAGGAATGGTTTGGAAGGCTGGAGGTTGGGCCCTCAGTGAACAGGGGTTATCTTGCTATGCAGGTAGCAGCCACCTATGGTACTCTCTGGGCAGATGTCATACTCCTAGCATCTTGTTCCTGTGAGACCATCTTTCCCGTGTCCAAAGGGTAACATCCAATAAAAAATCTCTACCTGTGACCTCACAATTCTAACAGAGAAATAAATTACTCAGTCTCTGCAAAGCCTGCAGTTTCTTCCAACAACTAAGTTAAAATTTAACAAATAAACAGTATCGGGTGAGGTATTTTAATCTCATCTCTGTAACTTGGGGACCTTGGACTCAAACCTACTCTGACTGGCTGGCACTAAAACATTGCTCACTAGAACATAAACACAGCCAAAAGATAAGCTTTATTAGTAAGACACTATTTCAGACCCTTTATGCCCTCTGTTGCTCATGATATTTTACTGAAAAAGTTGTTTAATAACACAACATAAACTTGAATAAGACAGCTCAGATATGTATATACTAATTTTTTACTCAATCATCACACATTAATTGAATATCCATATATTTAATGTGTTATGGTTGGAACTGAAGATACAAACAGGAGCATTACAGAACCACCCCCAAAGGGGAGGAGAACTAGAAGGCTGTCCTTTGGGAGGTGCTCTGCTCTGAGGATAAAATCCAGCTCCTTCTCCACATCAGCAGCTAAATCTGAGCTGCAGCTGGCAGTCAGAAGACACCTGTTCATCATACATTTCTCTCTGGAGCAGGCAAGCTGAAGATGAGCAATCGGCCATCAAGAGACAAGTAGGTGAAATAGAAGGTGGGAAATGGGGTAGGCAAATAATTACAGCCACGTCCAAGAAACAAAATAGAAACAGAAACCACCGGTTTCTGGGAACAGTTGAAACACACAAAGATTATAAAATGCTAAAATTGAAAACATGAATTAAGCTATTCCAAAAAGTAGTTAAAAGTGGGCGGAGGACATAATCTAAACAGAAAAGAAACAAATTAGATAATTTATTTTATTGACTCAAAACAAACCAAGATATTGGGAGATTTTATTTAAAAGAAGTGTGTCAGATATTAGCAGAGTAGTGTTGCAACAGGGACCCAAACATCAAATCAACAAGTATCTTAAGTGAAACAGAAGGGAAATTCTTTGAATTCCGTTCACAGGATGATAAGGCTGGGAAGTCATCAATATGCAGGAGTTTAGTATTTGGTGAAGTTGATGAATACTTTGTAATAGAATAGAAAGGAAGAATAATTCAGCTAACACTTTATGAGGCAAGAATGGGAAATGTTAAGGGTCTCAGACCATGTAGCTAGTAAGATAAGTTAAAAGAGACTTAGATTTCACCCAAGTCTTACGAAAAAGATTGGTTCTTTGTTCTGTGTTTTATATTGGGGCATGTGGTGAGTGTGTGTGTGTGTGTGTGTGTGTGTGTGTGCATGATGCGTGGGCATGTGTGTGAAAGAGAGAAAGAGAGAAAGGCAGAGAGACAGAGAAAGAGAAAGAAAAAGAGAGAGTCCTGGGGCTTAAACTCAGGGCCTAGGCACTGCCCCTGGGCTTAGGTACTGCCATTGAACCTTAGCTCCATTTTCAGCCCTGCTTCTGCTGCCTTGGGGGTGGGGGAAAGAGGGAAAGGGCAGTGAGGCAGTGGGGGAAGGGGGGCAATGGCTCCGCACCCCTCTTCTTGCTAATTTGAACACATTGGCTGCTCCAGACACATGCACTGCTGGGCCAGACCTTTCTTATCCCTGCTCCCTGGCCCCGCCCTGCAAGGGGGTTGGCATGGACCCAGACTGTGGGGCAGAAGGTTCTGGGCCTTCTCCTCCTCCCTCCTGACCCTTGGACCCCTAGCATCATCATCTCCTCCTTGCTTCCTCAGGCTGGACCTGGGGTTGCCCTTCTTGTAATGTATTCCTGCCTTGGCGCCCCTCCCCCACCATCCACCCTCTCACCAGCCTTGTTCTGAGCCCACTACGGGGCCTCATCCCTCTTTACAGAAGTAGCTTTGTTCTGGAAATAAAGATTCTAGGACTTAAATTTAAAAAAATAAAAAATTTATGTAATGTAATATTCTAAGTCCAAAAATCAGCACCTTAAGAGGTAAGGTTGATGGCAGTATCTGGTATCTAAATGTAGGAAACGAGATACATGCTTAGGAAAAGGTAAAAATGTAGTTACAAAAAATGATTTTTTAAATAATTGCACTTGGAAATGATTAAACATCACTGTAAACATTTACACCGTGAGGACCAAGGTTATTCTTAGGAAAGGATCACAAGGGCTCAATAGCTGTATATATATGAGCATATAAAATGATGCTTATCGAAATGAACTCCAAGAAATGGAAACAAGAGGGTCTGGGAAGGTGGCTCAGTGGTAGAGCACTTGCCTTGCACGCATGAGGCCCTGGTTTCGATTCCTCAGCACCACATAAGCAGAAAAAGCCAGAAGTGGAGCTGTGGCTTAAATGGTAGAGCATTAGCCTTGAGCTGAAGAGCTGAGTAACAGCACTCAGGCCCAGAATAAAGGCCCCACAACTGACAAATATATATATA